TCAATTCCATCTCCTGGGAATTGCCTCTGCTGCGGCACAAGAGATGCCTTATTTGGAGATGGCCACACTCTCCCCTCCATGCAATTACATGGCATCCCTGGCCTGGGAAACATCTCATTTTATGAGGTTTCCAGAGAAGAGCACAGTTCTCACAAGCGATATACTCTGTATTTTAACAGTGGCCTTGAAGGGTATCTGCTCAYCAGCCTACACACTCGGCTCTGCTTGGCTTTCTAGGGGATGTGGATGTATGCAACCTCTAGAAAGSGAGCTGAAAAATCTCCCTTTGGAATTGTTGGGGATTGCTACTCAGAGTACACAACCACTAATAAGCCCCACTCAAACCAGAGGCCACTGTGCAGGAAATTACAGCAATGGGAAAAAGTCACCTCCGTCCTACAGGTCACAGGGTCTGGGGATGAGTCATTGACGCCTTCAGTTTTGCCTTTCCAGTGGGTACTGACTGTCCCTCCTTCAGGAGTTTGGACACTTCCATCCCACAAATCAAACTGACTGAATGCTCTCAGGTGCCACAGCTGGCATCTGACCAACGGGTTAYACCACTCCCTGCCAAAAGCAAAGTTGGATATTACAGGTGCCCAGCTGCTAAAGAGCAAACTCCTCTGAACTAAACCTGCTTTTCAGGAACCAAGTGCCCCTGAGTTTCCAGCACACTTTATTATAGCAACAGATCTTTCTCCTTCATTTGATATTACATGCAAAGCAAGAAGGACAAGATTGGGAATGGTTTCCAGCCAGAAGAGCCAGGTGGCAAGGCACTCTCCTGAGCTCAACTGTCACCCCAAACACAGTCATCCAAGAAAAGATCAGAGGCAATGTCACTGCACTCTATAAATATCTGCTTATGATGCAGCTATRACAGTAGAAAGATATTTAAGCAAGGAGGCAATGCGCTAATGAGACTGAGGAGTAGACACTTGCATGAGGTAAGAGGTGCAGGTTGCTTCCTGCAGAGAGGTCTGCCTAGCACTATGATAAAGATTTTACATAAAACTGCATCTCTCTGCACAGTATTCCCCAGACTCACTAGTTCTTAGAAAAAGGACACTTGAAAAGATGCCTCAAGAGCTGTGGCCCATGAATGCAGCTAAGGCAGACCCTAGACAGGACTGACAGCTCCTCTCACTTCGTGAAATAATTATAGTCAAGTGCCTTGAGATATAAGAGGTTTGTTCAAAAAAAAAAAAAAAAAAGAAACAGCTACCCCAAAATAAAAAAAAAAAAATCCTGTCAGCAGCCAGAGCAGAAGGCAAGTCACTGTGGCCATAAGCTGCTCCTCACACTGTCCAACATCAGGTATGTTAAAAGACCAGCAATGGAAGGAAATTGAGCTGTTTGCTCACAGGGAAAATCCTTCCAAAACACTGGTTCCTGAGGTCACAAAGAGTAAATACCTTGAATATTCTGTTTAATAAAAGGATGATGTTCTCTCTATGGCCATTTTCAACACCTCTGGTCTTTTGGGCCCTGTAGCACCACCTCTGGAAAATTCTACAAGTCAAAACCCTGAAAAATCATGTTCTGTTTACCAAATTCATATCCTTCAATTTACATGACATCCCTTCCCTCCTACAGGATGAGGGAGACCAAGTAAGACCATCCAAAGTGCCCTCTACATAGAATCACAGAATAGTTTGGATTGCAAGGGACYTTAAAGCTCATCCATCTCGTTCCATCCCCTGCCATGTGCAGGGACAACTTCCCCTCTCCCAGGCTGCTCCAAACCCCATCCAACCTGGCCTGGAACACTTCCAGGAACAGGGCAGCCACAGCTTCTCCGGGCAACCCGTGCCAGGGCCTCATCACCCTCATAGGGAAAAATTTCATCCTAATAGCCCAACTAACTGCCCTCTGGCAGTGGAAAGCCATTCCCCCTTGTCCTGCCACTCCAGGCCCTTGTAAACAGTCTCTCTCCATCCTTCTTTTAGGCTGCCTTCAGGYACTGGAAGGCCACAAAAAGGTTACCCCAAAGTTTCTCTTCTCCAGGATGGACAATTCCAGCCTTTCCTCATGGCAGAGGCATTCCATTCCTCTGATAATCTTGGTGCCTCCTCCAGACTCGTTCCAACAGCCCCATCTCTTTCCTGTGCTGGGAAGCACAGAGCAGAATGTGTTCATAAGTCAACCCAGAACTAGGGATTTCCAAACTCAATTTCTTTTCCTAAAAATCTTTCCATGTTTGCGTGTACCTCTACCATGTTGCTACACTTTCTACTGCTTAAAGTAGAGGTGAAAAGAACGGGCAAATATTTTGGTTAAACACACTCTATACATACATATGAAGACAGAAAGAGAAAAACATGAAAAGCCCCACATTTTCTGCAGTCAAAATATCCATTTTTGTTTTCTAACCACCACAGCAGCTTCCCACGGCAATCCTTTGTCTGCATCACTTGTCCCACTGCCTTTGTTAGCTTCAAACACAGCAAATCCAAATCCATTCTGTATTAAAGAGAGCTGCTCTGTGTTATCTGCTGCTCTGCGTATTGCTCGTCTTGCTTTTCAAGTTCTCCCAGGCAAGCTCTCCAGATGTTCTGGATTTAATTAAACTCGTAATTGCTTTCTGAAAGTCTCCTTGCTACACCATTCCACTCACTTTCCAGAATTGTTATGATACATTATTTAAYTACAACACAAAAAGCCTCACTTCACTCAAGTCCATGCCCTGCAACTCAGACAAGTTTCCAAAAATCCTGGCTCAAGCCTTCAGCACTTGTAGGGCTCTGCAGGRAACCAGACTTCTATATGCCTCCTCCCTAACTCATTAGGGAACCTGGAAGTTACCATGAACTCAGGGAAAGGTCAGTTTTGACATTTAGCGATTATTTAGTCACTACTTCTTACAACAGAAGAAGCAGAGAGTGGAATTAAGAGACAAAATGAAATTGTCTTGCCAAAGGCTTTGATGATGATTTACATAAGTGGGTTGGAAAAATGAGTGGAGAATTTGTGGAAACTATGCAGCTGATTTWAGTGTCCCTTTGCCAGCACGGAGCTCCCATGGATGGAAACTGGGGTGCAGCCACAGCAGCATTARATTGACAAGTTCAAGAGGTTCAGGGCTCAGAGCTCTGCACCCCTGGGCTGGATTTACCATGCCTGAGCCACCGCCTCAAGTGGTGGTACAGCCAGAAGACTCCAGGTGCACTGCCTGCATGGGTGCTACATCACTCCGTGCCTTCCTCAGCAGAGGAAACTTCAGGAATCCAGCTGGGAACACTGAAGGCAGTGTTTGCAGGACGGATGTACCCTTCTTTAYGGTTAAACAGATTAAAGCTGCAATTTGAGCTTAGGTAGGGGTATAAGAGTTAAGCTGTAGGCAACCCAAACACCTTAACATCTTCTTTATTAAAGCCTCACTGCTGTAATCCACAGAATGGAATCACTAAGCTCATTTAAGGGGTTTCTCGTCCACAGTGCAATCGGTGGCCRCAGGCTATGGACCCTGCATGGGCATTTACTGAAGATGTCACARTGTGCAGCCAGTCTGCAGTTAGCTCACACCCCAGCACGATACCAGCACAAAGGAACTGAATTTAGGCCACTCCACTTTGGCATTACCCCAGTTTTAACACCTGACTTCCAAGCAGGGCTTTTTTATCTCTTTTAGTCCTGTGTTTATTTTTACAAACGTCTGACTCCTTCAGGCATCAATGTTTGACACACTGGAAAATGGATTATTTATAAACCATCAGCAGGAAAGAGGCACACTCGTTTGGAGAACTCGTAGACTGAAGAGCATTCCCAGTGAATTCAAAGCAATTTCAAGGCTTTTCTGAACACCTCACGCATTCATCGACACCTTGGGCACTGCTGACATGTCACCCTGTAATTTTGTGTTTGCTAACCTCAGTCAGGGTCAGCTGACAGCGTGTTTATCGTATCTTCTCCCCTGCAAACAAAGCCTTATTCCTAACCCAGACCCTCTGACGGAGGCCATTCCTGATCCAGGAATGCTGTTCTCGTTGCAGCTCGGCCCCTATCTACATTGTAGAAATGCCTTTTTGGCAGTAAGATAAGTCACCCGCACACAGAGCCCAGTGGGCCCCTTGCTCTGGCTASTGAGCAGCTTCACAACAATGAAGGCAGTAAGGTCAGTGCTGTTTCCTCAGTTTAACTGGAGACACTCGTGTTTGTCAGGATTTCAAAATGACGGCTTGGACTGAAACTTCACTGCGGTCTGCAGCTTTTTCATGAGGGGAAGAGGAGAGGTAGCACTGATCAATCTGGTTGCTGGTGACCAACAATAGAGAGAGCAGCATGAAGCTGTACACGGCGAGTTAAGATAAGTTAGATTATTGGATATTAAGAAAGGGCTCTTCAYTCAGAAGGTGGYARGTCACCAGAACWGGCTCCCCAGGGCAATRGTCAYRGCCCCAAGGCAGCCAGAGCTCTAGGGGTGTTCGGACAACGTGCTCAGGCATAGCATGGGATTGTTGAGGTGTCCTGTGGAAGGCCAGGAGTTGGACTYGATGATCCTTGTGGATAGGATATTCCATGATTCTATTCTATGATTCCACCAGTTCACACACTTGCCCAGCCATACATGTCAGCAAAGTGCGATGCCCAAAGGCCCTGTCCAGCAACAGCCGCGACACCCTCAGCTCACTCTGGGGATGCGAGGKACTGGTCCTACAGCACACCAGCTCCCCTGGAGASCCCAAGTCATCGCTCGGTTTCCCCYGCTGGAGCAGCTCCCYGGGGATGGCCARGCCCATTGGWTACACCACTTGCATTTGGCCTGCCCCGCGCTCCCTCAGGGCCGGTGTCGCCTCACGGCTTGGGTGAGGGCCAGCCCGCTTTGCCCGCTCCACCCGCGGCCGGCCCGGCCCGTTTTGCCCGCTTTGCCCGTCCCTCCGTGCCCCGCCTGTCCCCGCATGTCTCCCGCAAGCCCCGCGCCCCCTGTCCCTCGCACCCACAGCAGCGGCCAGCTCGGGGACAGTACCCACAGCAACACGTTCCCCCGGGCCGGCGCTCACCTGTTCTGGGGCCGGATGCCCAGCAGGTAACTCCGCCGGTCCGGCCTCGAGGCCCAGGCCGCGCTCTCGGCCTCCTCCGCCCCGTCGATGTGGCTCGTTCCCCGCCCGTAGAGGCCCGCGAGGGCCCGGCGGGTCGAGCCCATGGCCGGAGTGCGGCTGCCCTGCCCCGCGGCCGTCGCTGCCCGCCCTGTCACTCAGCGCCGCCGTTTATAGGCGCCCCGCACATGCCGCTGTCAATCGTGACGCGGCACCCGGCCTCCTCCTCCCGCTCCTCCCTGCCATCGCTGCCCGCTCCAGTTCAGCTTTTCAGGAAGAAGTAAACTTTTTCTTAAAATAATCTCCCCACCGCAGGGGATTTTCACACCTCGAAGCTCTCTGGTGACTAGTGACAGAACCCGACCATGCAGSATGAAGTTGTGTCCGATTTAGGTTGGATATAAGGAAAAGGGTGTTCACGCCACCCAGAGTGTGGTCAGACACWGCCCAGGCTCCCCRGGRAATGGTCATGGCCCCAAGGCTGCCAGAGCTCCAGGAGCTTTTGGACAAGGCTCTCAAGCACAGGTTTGGATTRTTGGGCTGACCTGTGCAGGGCYAGAAGTTGGACTCTGTGGTCCCTTTGGGTCCCTCCCAGTTCTATGATCTCTCAGGATCAGTTACAACAGCTTCCTTGCAGGCCCACCCTGGCTGGCTACACCACTCTGTGTGGTCATGGCAGTCACATCCTCACAACTGGGTCTCATGACTTGGCAGCCTGTTTTTTATCCCAGAATGCCTAAGAGAAGATCTGTGATGGTATTTGTTCAGTCTCTGTAGAAAAGACAACACAAAAGAGGGATATAATAAGTGGATACATGTCACAAACAATTACTAGCAGTGATTTAATACCAAAGGAAAATAAGTAATAAAATGGAATTATTTTCTTTTTTCTACCATCCTCTTACCTGTCAARCTGCTATATCATGCACTGCAGGCACGTCACTAGTGGCACCACATCCCTCCAGCACTGGAATGATGRATGGAGCAGATTCACTGTGGATCAGCTGCCTGCCCATGGCTRCACAGTAGCAATTGCTGCAGGAGCAGGGAAATGGTAGCAAATTGCTCCATTCCAGGAAATACAACAKGATTAGAGATGATCCTCCCTGGGCAGGAGAGACAGCAGATGTGGAGCAAGTAGCAGGGCAGGTGTTGGATCAGTTGATGTGGGACACTCCTGATTTTCTTTTCCCCAGAAAACACTGTGATTTGGAAGATGACTCTGGATAAGGACTGGCACCAGGGTGTGCACAGACACACAGAGTGTGTGCATCACCTATACAGATGACACAACAGTAGCAGGTGATCACATTATCAGGCATGTAGTGCAGGATTTGTGATACAAGAGAGGATACTTGATCCTGGCAAATGCAAAGAACATGGACCTCCTGACACATTTGGATGTGATCCTATGAAATATGGGGAAGGGTGGTCCCAGAGGGCTCACTGAAGACATTACCTTCACCAGGCAGTGAAAGAGCAGATGAAATTGCATAAAACAAATGTAGCATAATCCCTGGAGGAAACCACAGTACTCATTTTCAATAGGCAGCAGTGGGCTCTGTGTGAGCTAATGTCACTTAGAAATAATACATCTCAAACAGAATATAGCAGACCCCAAAAAAACCCAAATGTAGAACTCAAGAGAAGGGCAGCAAGGATGAGCCGAGGTCCAGACTGGCTTCTGCGTAAAGGATAACTACATGGACTGGAAAAAACTACTGAGATGCCCATGACTGAGGTATACACWGCTGAGAAGGACAAGGAGAACAAGACTGGGGCATCAAGACAAATTAGCAGGAGATAAAATTAGTGAAACGGAGATGCTTCCTCCCTTCCCTTGGCTTTGAGCTACTCCCACACATGGCTGTGGCAATTCAATGCCAGTTGGGGTTAATAAAATCCACAGGAYAAATCTGTGGAAAGAAAATCTCCTGAGGTTTATACGGGATGAAGATATTGCCTTCAGTTCAAGAAATGTTTGAGCTGCGTAAGAATATCCAGTGTGTGTGCCCTGATCTCACATCCTTTGATCTGCTTTGGCTGCTGCCCAAATGTGGGAGGCAGGATGCTGGGCTGGGAGGACCCAAGGTGGCATTCTCCTTCTCCCATCCCTTTCTCTGAAAGGTGAAAGAGGACTTTCAGGTCCCATAGCTTCAGGAAACCTGAATTCAAGTCCCAGCATATGAATTACACATTTGTTTTACCATGAGCCCAGTCTCCTGGTGTGTTGATCTGGTAGAACAGAGTCCAGACTACCTGAAAAAGGTGYCCAGAACAGGTAGTTTTCTGCTTTGGGCCTGGAACTGTGTCTGGTTTCAGATTCCCAAATACAGGAAAGACACTGATATGCTGGATCAAGTCCAGTGAAAGCCACCGAAAAGACTGAAGGAGGTCAAACACCTGATATAGGAGAAGAGGATGAGAGAAACTGGGGAGGATGAGAGAAAGTGGGTTTTAAGCTTCAGGGAAAGGCTAAATTAAGACCTTCTTCTGTTCTTCACTACCTCACAGGAGAGTACAGACTCAGAGATGCAGAGTGATGGAATGAGAGGCCAAAATGCAAATGGCAAGGAGTAAAGTTCTGATTAGATATTAGGGAAATTCCTTKCCCTGTGAAGGGAATCAAGCAGTACCACAGAGGCCCAAGAGGTAGGCAATCTCCATCCTGTGAGACAGTCCAACTGTGGATGGGACAGGGTGCTGAGCAGCTGATCGACATCCTGCTCAGAGTRGGGGGCTGGACAAGACACCTCCAGAGCTCACTTCCCACCCTGGGCATACCATGGTTTGGTGCTTCACCCCATCAGTGGAGAGGAGCCTGGATGGTGAGCATAGGTTTAGCTCAGAGGTGACGAGAAAGATCGTTTTGTGTTGTTTGATCCTTCCTGCAGACGCACAGAGGTTATATTCTTTTTCTGCCCTTTCAAGCTCTGAATGATTCTTGTGCCTGTCGCCTGCTGAGACAGCTTCCTCTCACAGCATCTGCTCTCCCATCAGTCTGCTCAGAGAGTGACAGTGCCCTCTGCTCCTGGCTCTGGGGGAAATGCATTCAGCTGCTGGAGCCTGAGCCAGCCAGGCATGAGGCTTCAGTCCTTGTTAGCAAAGCTCTTTTCCTCTGCGTGCAAATCCAGCACCGACTCACACAGTCACAGATGTTTTCTCACTCTTCTCGCACAATTAATCTTTCCCTTTCCCACTCTGCACCCTTAAGCTCCTCCCTTTCTRAAATGACAGGCTTCTTCCTGCACTCTGACAACAAGCTCTCACCTCTGGTTCTTCCCCAAATATTCACAGATGGTGCCAGGGCAGGGCTCTGACAGAGGATGAGCACAGTGGGCTTTCTGAGGAGGAATTTKGAGGAGGATTCTCTCTCTAAAACCCAGAGAAACAGTCTACAGGGAATGCAGCAACCTCCTGCTGTTTGAATAGATGTTGCATCAACCAGAAATTCATCTTTAGCTCTGGAAAAGGAGTTAATTAAATAATAATTTTTCTTAGCTGAAGTTAATTTAATAATCATTTTTCTTAGCTACCTGTGCTGCATGGATAATAACTGCAGCATATGTGTGACATAGAGCTGCTGGCACATCCTCAGCCAGAAGCTTCATTTACAATCATTCATAGGTTTAAAACCTKCAAGAGARTATTTCCAAATGCCTGGCTGGACCCTCAAGAAAGCAGGAAAAAGAAAGGTCTGTGTCATCTCAGACAGCAGGGGAGATTAGCAAAGAAAGATCCTATGCTAAATATCACCTTTCCTGTATTCATGAAAGAAAAGGACCAGTCCTTGCTGGAGCARGGATTCCTCTGGGTCACATTGGATGGACACGATGTAGCAGGTTTTCCTGTCTTTGCAGTGTCACTATCCCATTCTGCACAGAGGAAGGGACATGGAGGGAGAAAATCCTTTCTTGATCCACCASTTATGTTGCGTTTGGCCTTTTCCTACCACCTTCTTCCCTATCTGTTACAAAAGAAAAGCAGCAGGTAGAGGTGCATCCCCAGCCTTGCTTAGTCCCTCTGACCCTATGGCATACTCAGCCCTGCCCTGGGTTCCACACGCATGAATTCCATGAGCACTTCACCACAACTGCTTCTCTCTGCCATGCTGATGCCCCTGTTTGTGCCCTTCCATCCTCCCACTTGGGAGAGACCTCCCTGCTGGCCTTGCTTTTCCTTGGTCASCCCACAGCCACTGCAACAGGACAGAGAAATTTCAGCAGCAGAGAGCCTCCTCTCTAACTGGTCTGTGGTTCCCCTCATGCTGAACTCCTGGTCTCCATCACTCCTGGCACCATGGGAACCTGCTWCCTAGGACTATTAACATGGGGAGAAGCCAGCTGGATGCAAATTTGCCTGCCCTGGGAATGGGAATTTTGTCACCCCACATCCTGAGCCTAGACCTGCTTCATTCGTACAGGCTTTATGTCACACTCCCTGCCCAGTCACTTCCAAGTTCTTTGGGAAATGACAATCAATCACTCCCTGGCCACCCTCTGTCCTCTCCATTTACCATTTCCAGCTAATTTCCTTGTCAGTCCTGTTGGCTCTGGAAAGATGATGAGTTTTGGGTTAACGAGTCTGACTTTGCCCCAACCTTGTAAGTGCAAGGCACAGCACTGCAGAGTCCTCTATCCCATTCCTTCCCTAGCAGAGGGGCTTGTGCAACCTCCGGAGGGCTGGCCCAGTGCCACTTCCCCCAGGGCACTCATGATGCCCGGCCCAGCTGGCGGGGACTTCTTGGAGGAAGCRGGTTCTGTGTGCCCACCCGTGGGAGCGCTGGCTCCACCATGAACCTTTCGGGCCCTGGCCCCCAGGAGAGAGGTGAGTGCAGCCATGGAGCCTGGGGTTGAGGGTGGTGGGCACAGGGGTGTGGGCAGGGGGGCGAGTGACTGTGGGGATGAGAGCAAGGGTGATCATGGGGACAGGGGAAAGACACCCATGGGAATGAGGCAAGGACACTGTGGGGATGGGATGAGGACACCAGTGGGGATGTGGGTGAAGATGGCTGTGAGGATGGGAGGTGGGTCACTGTGTGGGGAAAGGAGCCGAGGGCACTTGGTGAGGAGGAAGGCGAAGACACCTGTGGGGATATGGGCAAGTACACCCATAAGAGGGTGAAAGGCAGGGTGGGGAAAAGGGAAGGAAGGACAGGCCATGTGGAGAGGGGCAAGTGTACCTGKAAGGAGTGGAGGGGGCACTGTGGGGAGGAGGGGAGGACACTAATGCTGAGTAGCTGTGGTCAATAGTCGGAATGGGAACAAGGACACCTGTGGCAAAGGGGCAGGGGCTATTGTGGGGATTGGATGAGGTCAGCAGTGGGGTTGGGGGTGAAAATACCCATGAGGAGAGGGCTGAGGACACTTCTGGGATATGGACAAGTACACCTATAATGGGGGGGCGGAGGGGAGCACTGTAGGGAGACGGACACTAGAGTTTATGAGGGTGAGGTCAGCAGTGGCGGTGGGGAGGTGGTAAGGAGTGTGTGAAGGGGGCACCGCGGGAAAGAGAGACGGACACCCACTGGGACGGGGAACAGGGCCACCATGAGAGGTCACTCCCGAGCAGGGAGGTGCGGGCAGCCTTGCCACGCGAGCGAGGGACACATCCTGCAGCGTCCCGTTCGGAGCGGGGCACACGTACGGAGCCGGGCCTGGCCGAGCGGGGCCCGGCCGAGCGAGGGCCACGCCGAGCGAGGGCCACCTTGTCCCGGCTCGTGGCGGCGCCGCCCCCGGTGCCGGCGGGCGCGGGGCGGGCCGGGAGCGCGGAAGTGCGGGGCTGGCGGCAGCTGAGGGCGGGCTCCGGCCCGGCGCCCCAGCCCCCAGCCCGCCACGGGCCCTCAGCCGGGTGAGTGGCCCTTCAGCCGGGCCCCTGGCCCCTCAGCCGGGCCCCTGGCCCCTCAGCCGGGCCCGACCCGCCCCAGCGCCGCCGTCCCTCACCGCCGCCGTCCCTCAGCGCAGGTGCCGCCGCCGCGTCCCGGGGAGAGGAGCCGCTGTGGGGCCGGGCAGCGGCCGCCCAGGCCGGGGAGGAGCCAGCGGAGAAGCGATGCAGGAAGGTGAGTGGCCACGGGGCACACGGTCAGAGTGATCGTGTCACCCCTTGGGTATTTGCGAGAGTACCCAGAGAAGCCCTATGTTATCCATCCACCTTCCATCGATCCATTCTCTTGTCCATCCACCTATCCATCCATCCATGATGAAAATTAATCCACAAGCACCAGAGGTTTTTGTTCARAAAGGAGACAGAGGAGTCTCATAACTTTATTCGTGAATAAAGGGAGAGGTCATGGGCATTTCCCTTGTAATCTCTCAAATTGCTAGAAGATGTAGCCTCTTTTATCTTAATTTCTCGGCTGCAGTTTCCTCTCTTGCCCCACTGGCTGAGGTACTTGAGAAGTACAGCTCCCCAACAGGTCTAATGCAACCCCACTTCTATCATACATTCCCCCCTTTCAATTTACATCTCTGTGTCTCTGCTCTTGTAATCTATTAACATAGTCTGTAGTAAATCAGAATTCCTGTAGAAATCCTTCCTATTGTTTCCTTCTAAGTCCCAGTATCGGCCTTATTTTATCCCCAAAGTCAGTTTGTAAAGACACTTCCTTCTCATTCCTTTCCCATCCATCCATCCATCCATCCATCCATCCATCCATCCATCCATCCATCCATCCATCCATCCATCCATCCATCCATCTCTCCTTGGGCCAGGAGCATCCCTGTTCTTTCAGTCTCCCCTGTCTTCTGGGGTCAGTGTCCCTCTTGAAGCCCACCATGCCTGGCCACTGGGTGAGAGTGAGAGGCGTGGTTGTAGCTGCAGTGTTGTTCCCACCTCCACATGCTGTTTCTCCACAGCCATTGCCATAATTGAGCAGCCAGTCTCTGTCTCTGTCCCGGTGGGCTACTCCTTCACTCTGCGGTGCCGAGCCCAGGGATGCACCTCACTGCAGTACCAGTGGTTTTGTCAATACCAGGTAAGGATGGGTATGGCACCAGGTTGGTGCCCTGCACACAGTGAGGGAGCTGAAGGAGGGGAGCAAACCAGCAATTGATTTCTGCTTTTACTGCTCTTACAAGGGGCTTCCTAGTGCCTTCTACTGCCAGCAGTGAGGAGGGAATTACTGCCCACTGYCTGTGTTTTCCCTTTAGTCTGACTGTCACCTGATTCCTGGAGCAACCAGCCAAGACTTGCCCATCATTGCAGAGCAGACCCAGCTCTATACCTGCAGAGTAAATGACCTCCGTAGAAATGCCGTCTTCTCTGACTGGGTGAAGGTGGAGGTCCATCAGTGTGTTGCCAGAGGTACAAGTGTTTCATTTACCTTCTTGATGTATTATGGAATCACAGAATGGTTTGGGTTGGGAGGGACCTTCAAGCTCATCTCATTCCACCCGCTACCATGAGCAGGGACACCTTTCACAAGACCGGGTTGCTCCAAGCCCCGTCCACCTGCACTGCACCTTWTGCTTAGAATGTTGACTGTACCCTTGGCAGGAAAGGGCAGGGGTCAGGTTTGGGAAAMCAGAGGCAGGGCTTTAGTGTGGCATTTACTATCACAGACGTTGCTCCCAATGATTCCCTGTTCCCCAAAAAGTGCAGTGGTGATGGCCAAAAATGGCCATGTTTGCTGTTGTTGTGGAGGGAAGACTGATTCTATATTGCTGCCTTGCAGGTCTACCCCCTCGGCTGTGGCAAGGAGAACCAGTCATCATCATCAACCCCAGCGAGCAGTGGGTGGAGGTGGGGCAGCCGCTGCAGCTGCAGTGTGCTGCCATGGGGGTCCCAGCACCCAGCTACCAGTGGTACCGCAATGGTAACCTGCTGGAGCAGCAGAAGAGGAAGAAACTCTGGGTAAGATTTTCTGGGCTAGCTCAGGAGCTTTGGCTGCTGATGTGGGTAATGGGAGAAACTGATTGCAGGGCTGTGAGAAAGCTCTCCACGTATCATCCTGCTGCTTTGATAGCCAGCTGGATGACTCTGCATAAATTATGGACTTTATGGTCTTCTTTCAAAGTTGTGGACATTCCTCTAAGAGGTAACCAATCCATAGATGTGTCAAGGGCTCTCAGCATATCTCTTGTGCCCTTTTACAGCAGAGACATGAGGACGATTGTTGTCTGTATGTGCAGGGGACTGTGGRTGGATGGAGCTGAGGGAATGCCGTCTGCCTGCTACAGACCTAGAAGGAAAAGCTGTTGGTCCTGRCAGAAAAGAGTGAGGGAGGCAGTAGAAGGGCTGGCTTTGTGTTGCTGGCTGAGTGCAAATCAGTGCTGTCTTGAATCAAGAAAGGAGATTTCCTTCCAGGGCATCACGTGAAGGGCACAAGGACAAGATTTCAGTCTCTTGTCAGTAGTGGTCGATGGTATTACAGGTGGCCTTAGATTGCACTTCTGATGGAAAGTACAGTCTGGGRACTAAGGAGAACTTGTTTTCAGAGGTGGATGATGCTGTGCTGGAGCCAGAAAGGCAGCAAGGTCTCTGTCCTTGGAAGTGTTCAGGGCTTGAATAGACAGAGCTATGGCCATCCTGACTCAGTGGTGGCTTTAGTCCCTTTCTCAGCAGCATCYTGGGCTGGAGAACCAGAGTCCTTGCCAGCTAGTACTTCTCTGGTTCTTGTTCATGACCTGATTCTTTGTGAGGCAATGCGAACAGCAGGAAAACTACTTTTTATTCCATGAACACAAGTGCCTTCAGCAGATCCCAGCAGGGAGCTTCAGACTTTCACCATAAATAATGTAATTTAACTTTTGATCTGCCTAGATCCCCCATGCCAAGGTCAGTGATTCCGGCACGTACCTCTGCTGTGCCTCCAACARTCATGGAGAGCATTGGACCAACGCCGTGGACATTCACATCGGTGAGCAGAGCCAGCCCACATCACTTTGCTGCTCATCACCTGGTGAGAGACATAACTAGAAGGGACAAAGGAGTTTGGTGCTCTCTTGAGACGCCGAGCTGGTGAACAAGGACCGTGATAAATAGGATTCCTTGGTATTGGTGCTCTGAGGGAGCAAAGGGAGCAGCAGCTGGAAAACTCCCTAAATGCGGTGACACACTGTCTGGCGGGTGGGATGCTGCTGGGCCCTGCAGCGTGTCAGACRCCTGCTGTGTAAAGGCAGGCTCAGTGCTCTCAGCGGCTCCCTGTGGCTTTCTTGCCATGCCAAGGTGCTGCATTTACAGTTCCAGTCCAAATCACAGTGGGCTCCAGTACCCAGGCTCATTTCCGGTCTCGCTGAGATGTAGGGATGTGCTCAGACACASAGCTGGAGAGGATGGTGTTTATTTGGGAAGGTTCAGGCCCCTTGGGATGGCAGCTCAGGGCTGATGCTGTGTGAGTTGGATCCCAGGGAGAGGAGGTGTCCCCAGAGCCTTGGGCACCCTCCATCTCTGGCTGCTTTGGCCCTCTCCCTTTGCCCTGTGTGAGGCAGGAATAACACGGGCTGGCTTTGCTGGCTCTTTACTGCATCTAGAGATTTTTCTATGCCATAAGCTTCTTGTCCTTCCTTTTAGGCTAGCTTTAAAACTTCTCCAAAGTGCAAATTGATCCTGTGTAGCTGGAGACCTGTCTGCCTGCGTCTACGCAGCCGGCAAAACAGCATCATGGGGGACAAACAGTGAGAAAAGGACACCAGATTGGGTTGAGTTCAATGTGTTACTGCTGGGGAGCTTTAACATGCAACAGATGCCTCTATCASAGGCAGAAAAGGATGAGTGGTTTTGTTCTGAAGTTTTTCAGGCATCTCTGTCGCATCAGTAAACCTGGTTCAGGGGCCAAGGGTCTTCCAGACCCATGAGATTTCTGTAATTTATCCTCAATTTCTTCTTTTAGAGCATGTAGGGTTCTAGAATTTTCTCCTGGGCTGGATTTTTAAATTTATMTCTTCTTTAAATAGGAAAAGCTGGAGCTGTTAGGGTAATGATGATTTTAAGAGGCTGGAAGTGCTCAGGCTGGAGAGCTTGTGCACCAAAGTGAGTAATACTTGGGTGACTTTTCTGAGCCACAACTGATAAAAATCCAGAAAAAGGCAGAGCAGGGAGATGAAAAACTGTGGGAATATTATTGCAATCAAAAGCGGACAGGACAACTTCCTCTGCACTGGACATGTCTTGGTAGAAACTCTCTGTTTTGGAGCTTTTATTGACCTTGAGTCATGTTTCCTTTGCTTTTGGTGCAGGGAGGGAGCAAGTGAGTCACGTCAGGCACAAGCTTCTCCATGCTGACCCTCCTCTRCTCTGCCACTTCTCCAGTCTTTGCTTCCCAGCTGCTCAGGATGCCATAAATCAGGCTGGATTTCATAAATTCTAACRTCAGACCAGTGACTTTAAGGTTAGCAGTCAGGCTATGAAGGAATTGCCTGAGGAGTGTTTCTTGTGCAGTAACTCTGTGTTTATGATTCAACTGTGCATTGCTGGAGATATTGGAGCAGGCACTGGATGCTGGATCCAGGCTTATCATTTCCCTCTTTCTTTCTCAGGTAGATGTGGCTCTGGAAGGTTTTTTGGTGAGTATGGTCATCTTCCTGAGCAATTATTCCCTTATTTAAGAGCCAGGCTCCAGGGTGGATGGGAAGAGAGGGAATGGGCGGGCTTTTTCTGCAGAAACCACTTCAAGCCTTTATGCCCAYATTGCCACAGGCTCTGCACTTTTAGATTAGAGCTGCACAGCACAAGATGAGTCCCATCCCCTGCCAAGGCCTGATCTTTCTCAGCAAGTGGAGTAAGATTATTCCTAATGAGTAATTAAGTCTTAGGCTCTGTGCCTGCCAAATGATTTTAAAAGTATTGTTGACATGACAACTTATCCCTACTTGAATTACCTCCTCAGAGCAGGGCAGAGTTCCTCGTTCCCATCACTACTGACTGACATAAATCCTGCTTGTTTACAGAATCAAAGCAGGGCCCAAGGTTTCTCTCCTTCAGCCCTGTGAGGGGAAAGACCCCTTAGCCTGACTCAGTGCATCCCCCTCCCATGCACCACTKACATGCAAGACCTGTGGTCATGGTGGAGCAGGTAGAGCAAACCATCAGTACTCCTGGAATTTTGGTTGTCAAATGAAAACTTTTCAAGTCTTTCTGTCAACATGATTGTATGTGTATTTTGTTGAAGTGTTCATAAAACCGAGGGCTTTCTGGTGGGTGCTCCAGGCTTGCACCAGCCTAGGGTCTGTGCTGTCTRACTCTTTCATTATGTTGCCCATAGTCTCACTCCAACAGGAGGAAGTGAGACTTTGCCTCCCGCTGAGCATTTACAGCTTTTTCTCTTGGTGTTTGTTTTAGCAACAGGCAAAATAGCACTTTTAGTGGGCAACAACCGCTACCAGCATCACCCCAACCTCAAGGCACCTGTCAGGGATGTGTTTGAGCTGAGTCATCTTCTGGAGCATCTGGGCTTCCAGGTTGTGTCCCTTCTGGATCTGAACAAGGCTGAGATGGCAACAGCGGTCAGTCAGTTCCTGCAGTTGCTGCGGAAGGGTGTCTATGGTAAGGCCAAGCCAGCTCAGCCACCTGCCCATGCTGAGTAGGAATCAGGCAGTTTTCTGAACAGCCATTGAATTAAAAGAAAAGAAATTGAGCTTTGCTGTCTCAAGGGGAACCTGCATCAGTACCAGGTTTGGCAGGAGCCCCTGGATAAGTGTGGTTCAGCTTTGGCTGGGCTACATTCAGGCAAAGTGGGTGTCTCTCCAACACGTGGCTCACCTCCAACCCCAACCCCAATCTCACACTGAGATTTTTGGGAGCCAGTGCTTCTGGTAGTGAATGGGAAAGGGAGTTTCGATTTTTTTCTTGGGTGAAAGAACTGAGGAGCCTGATTGCCCCCCCACTCATGTGTGAAGTGAGGATCTCCTTTTGAGCCCTGACTGCTGCATCTGCTTATCATTTCCTTGTTTCTCTTTCCTGAAGGTCTAATTTAGGCCCTTGACAACTCTTTTGCAGAAGGGTATTCCCAGCTGCAGTGGCTTTGGGGTTGGGCTTTGAGCTTATTGCGTGCTGTGCTCAATGGGAAGTGTTCCTCAAACACCCAACTAGCAGATCTTGTGTGTCATAWAGCAGGTGTTCAGATTTGGTGGTGAAAGTAGCATCTTTGGGGTCCCTTAGATTCCCGCAGCWTAACAGATACCCTGAAAACACTTTGCAGGTGGTTTTTTTTTGTTGTTTCCAAACCTCGGTTTGAGGCTTACCCACCAGCTATATGGCACCCAGACAATGCAAGTTGGTGTGGGCTGATCTAGGCTGGTGCTCAGTGTGAGGTTTGGAGGTTGTGCAGTGGACAGAGACCTGACCATGAGGGAAATGCTGCACAGCCACTTTGTTGCTCAGATGCACTGACTCACCATGGGAGGCTGAGCWGGTGGGAAGGGCTGTGCCTGGTCCTGACACTCTGGCTGAACGTGTCACCCATGACAGCGTATTCCCATGACTTCATTTGCAGCTTCCTTTGGTTGTTGCTCTCTGAAATCCTCTTGTATTTGAGGCTTTACCTCCTCTCCCAAGCCAAAGTCATCCCAGCTGCCATTCTTACCTTCTATCCATGGCACGTGAGGACCAAATGGCATTTTATCCATGGCCCTTACTAAGCACTGGAGAGAAAAAAATGCTTGGAAACTTTTGAAAACATGAAAGCAAACCTTTCATATTGTTATGCCTTGTTTAAACTTCTAGAGCTTTACTGCATTCGTGGCTTTTGATCCTTCCTGAYAAGATTGATTTTGTGGTCTGTCCGGAAAAACACTAACAGCTGAATTACTGAACCTTAGTAAAACGTTGAGTGTTTGTGATGCAATGCCTGCTCGGGTTGAGATTTTCTTTACAGTTCTTCAGGCTGAGTGGTGTGCTATTCTTTGGAGGCAGTGAACTCCACTATGGGSTGGGCCTAGCAGTGATTGAATTCAGGATTTTGGCACATTCACTGGAGTGTTAACRTTGGGTCAGGCTGCCTGCTGAGTGCCCCAGTTGTGGTGCAGCTCCATGAGCCATCCAGGCAGCCTGTTAAAGACCCCAGAGTGCCTGTGAYAGCCAGTCCTGTACACCCATGTGTGTGTTGGACATGCTCCTGTGGCATCCCAGTGCTCTTGCTTGAAGAACCTGAGGGGGCCACCTCCTGTGGAGCACCCGCCAGAGCTGAAGTCAGGAGAGCTTTTTGTAGACACACAGAGGGAGGAGAGGGCTGGCTGGTGAACATGAACTTCCGTGGGTTGGTGCTTGTTGCCCCTTGTTGTATGGTTTGTGCTGACAAGGGCAGTTGGGCTTTGTGATCTCCCTAACTGTCCCTTCAGGAACTATWGGCTTTTGTGAGACTATTCCACATCTTCCGCATCTTCCACATCTTCCAGACCATCCCAGCACAGCTCCTTCTCCCTCTCCTCCCAGGCCTTGATCCTGAAGTGTTCAATAAACAAATGCATGTGGCACTGCATGACATGGTTCAGTGGGCATGGTAGGATTCAGTTCAACGCTGGACTTGATGAACTTGGATGTCTTTTCCAACCTCAATAATTCTATTACCTAAAGGCTTCTCCAATTCACTGTGTGGAGGTCKTGTGTTATCAGGCTGCTTTTCCTCCAGATCTCATCTTAGAAAAGCTGCAGAGGATTTTTGAGGGCCCCAAACATCCCCTAAGTGATCTAATTATTCCACCCTCAGGCAAAAGAGGAATGGATGGCTGTTATTTTGAGCATCCCAAGAAGTCCCAAGTCAAAAAAATTATGGAAATGCAGTGAGAGCAGAAAGTTGTGAGTGCACTATTAGGAATATGGAGTCATGCCTTGATCAAGCCTCAYGCGGACATTTCCTGCATTAGAAGCAGTGCCTTGAGCTTCCCCTTTTTAATTTGGTGCTTAGAAGTTTGTCTGTGAAGAGCAGTTCTGACTGATACGATGTGGGAAGAACTCAGAATAAAACAGCCCTTTCCATCTCTGGGTAAATTGTTTGCTGTTCAGGAGGAGAGATTAAGTCCGAGAGAGGTTGGAGAAGTTGCTCAGCTGATATGAAACTCACGTTTTTTGATTTGAACATGAGTCTTTGTGGTTTAAATAGCATGGGTAGCACTTGGTGGTACATTCAGGTACTCAACCAGATCTCAAAAGTTAGAAGATTTAAGGAYTGAATCATTCTTTCTGGGCTTTCCTGTAATATTTCATTTTTTTCCAATTATCCGTGATGCTGCCTGGTAACAGATGTCATCACTTCCCTGCRTGTACAGGCAGAGGGATGAAAGCCACCAGTGCTCAATGGCTTAAGGGGCCCAACCTGCATCTGATTTTTCTAGAAGGCTCTCTGTTTTATGTTCTTTTCTAGTCTCAGAGGAGGGCTTTGTGGCTTTGATTTGCAAGTTGCAAAAGTTTAAAGCTTCCGCATATCTGAACCTGCCATCTCTGGCTGGCAATCCTCAAGTAGAGGAACCCAAATCTCTTAGGCATCTGTGAAAATGGCTATTTGAGAAACTTTCCATTGTCCCCTGAGAATGGAAACCAAAGGTGACTCAAGGCCTTTTTGACTATGAGATCATGTTTTCCATCCTCCACACGATGAGATCATGCTTTCAGCCCTTCAGCTCCTGCCCCTGTTACTGCATCCTTGCAGAATCAGACCAAAGTGAGCGTTCTGCCAAATCCAGGGGCAGGGAAAATACTCACTGGAGGGAGAGTTTACTCACTGAAGTGTGGGCTTTGGCGGCAAATCTGAGTGAAGAATTTCTCCTGCTGCTTTTTCCCATCTCTGACCTCTCACTTTTCACTGTCCCTCGGTTGCAGTAACACAACTCTCTGCGCTACCTCACAGAGCTATTTTTAACCCATTTCAGTTCCCCAAGTTGGCTTTCACCAACCAGCATCCCCCAAGCAGTGTCATTGGTGCTGGGGAGGGGTAGCCAGCCACTATGCAGCTTCCTTTTGGGAAGCTCCAGCCTGCATGGGGATCGCTGTGCTGGCACTGTGCTGAACACAGGGCTCGGAGAGGAGCCCAGCTTAGGCCATGCCAAGCTCCCCAGTGCTTCCTTCCCACCTGGATAGCCCTGTGTTGCCATCTCTTGGGAAGGCAGAAACCATTGTTAAGTTTAACTTGATTAAGAGTATATCAAAAATTCTTGTTGGGTCTTGGGCTTCCCAGCARCATCGGCATGAGTGTGAATCCTCCCCTGCCTAACAGGATTGGTGCRTGATCTGAGGTTTTTGAAGCACATGATTTGTATTATGGACATTGGAAGAATTAATCTCTCTGTCTATATCTAATTTTTCACCAGCATATAGGTGTGTGAATACAGGCAGACCTTTGAAATCGACAGTGTTTCCCATCACTTAATCAGTTGTTAGTCTCTTCTCCAAAACTAGGAAGCTGAGGAGCTTCTCATTTAAATGTCTGTTAATGTATTTTCCATCATGGTAAAATCCTTTTCCGTTGCCTTACCCTTCAAAGATCTGAGGATTAACCAAAACATTGTACAATTCAGCCTGGGGTACCAAGCCTGGGTGTTGTAGCACAGAGGGTTTGGAAGCCAGGGACTGTAAACCCAGGCATTTCAGGAGACAAGCAGTGCAGGAATCTCCACAAGTAGAGGAGAGCCTCTTGAGGCTGCTTCCAACTCTGAATAAAGGGGGAATAAATTGGAAAGAAGTTGAAGCTCTTCGGTCAATGTAGCTTCAGTTCCATAGGTGCCACTGGTCTAGGTCTGCCCTGTGCCAGTATCCCTTCAGGACAGGGGGTGGGACATGGTYGTGGGGAGCTGGTTACAGACCTACAGGTTGGCATCCTGATTCATCCTCTCCTCTCCCTGTTCYCAGCTATATTCTACTATGCTGGGCACGGGTACGAACATCTGGGGAGGAACTACATGGTCCCTGTTGATGCTCCACAACCCTATGCCCCTGAGAACTGCATCAGCGTGCAGAGGATCCTCCAGAAAATGCAGCAGCAGCAGACGGCCCTGAACATCATCCTGCTGGACACCTGCAGAAAGTGGTAGGGTGCTCTTCCCTATTCCTCACCTGGACTGGGCATTCCAAGGGCTGGGGGAGGGCAGCCATCCWCATCTAAGGGCTTTGAGGGCCCCAATGATTGCCACGTCCCCTGTGGTGATGCTGAGCCTCTGTCAGAGGTTATGATCTATGCCATAAAAGCAGCCACACTGTCAGGTCCTGCAGGGTGTCCTGTGGGATGTGTCAGTCACGTATTAGTGCAGAGAGCATCAGACCCTGTCTGAGATCTGCTGGAGAAAGGGGCTGGAAGCCCTCTCGATTTTTTGAGGTTGCCTCAAGCCTGTGGAGGGATGTCTCTGCCTGGCACAAATTGTTGGCTCAAACTCAGCGCAGAGTTTGTCTTTTGTGTTTGAAGCCTGACCCACCTGAGCTGTGAGCACTGTGTGCTCAGGCTGGGATTGCTCAGCTCAACTCTCTTCTCCTGGCTGTGTTCTTGTTAATATCTCAGGGAGAAAAGTGCAGCATGACAGGGAAAATATCTTAAGCCCTCCTACTTGCTTTTTACTGGCCTTAWATCCTTCTGAAGTGGTCGTGTTGTGAAGCAGCTGCTGCTGAGGTCAGAGATCAGCATTTTCCCACTTTCTGTGGAAAACCCATCATCTTCTCTTGGCCTGCAGACCTCTATCCTGCTGCAGAAAATTACTACTTGTCCAATTTCAGCAGAGGTGGGTGGGCTCTTTCTGTAGAAGCTGTCATTAGTTCATTTATTTCAGGCTCCTGAGGCAGATTTACAGGTCAGAAAATGCCTGGAGAGGAAATGTGGGGACAGCTCTCTATTTGTGCCGTGGTTCCTGCACTAAGAACTGGAAAGACAGCAGGGCTTTTGATACCCTGAGCAAGTTGCCAGCCCCTGGAGAGAGGATAAGTTTTTGATTCCTTTTAGCTGCACCGGTGGGTCTGCTTGCTTAGAATAGCTTAAAGCTGGCTGTGCTGGGACTTGTCCTGCAGCTCTGGATCAGGAGCTTGGTGTCCCTTGATGCTGCCCTGAACTGCCCAGAGTGGAACATCCCCTTTCTCCCTTCTTGCTGGCCTCTGAGAGCAGTGTGTTATTTCCCTGGCACAGCTGGCAGTATCTGTCTGCCCTCCCGCAGGTGAACAGGCAGCCAAGCAGGAGCRCCTGGCTCTCATGGATACATGATGGCACCAGGCAAGTGCAGCTCTGGGCTGCTGCTCTGCTCTCTGAGGGCAGYGTGTGATGCGGAGGCAGTGTGGAGGCTGCACAGGGACCACCAATGCAAATGTTAACAACCTATGAAACAGTTTTGGAGCTGCTGTCTCCTTCCTTGGCATTGCCAGTGGTTCCTTTGCTCATGGAGTCTCAATGGTGCTCTGGGAAGAGGATACCATGTAAGATTTGYTGTGATATTGAGGCAGTCATGCAGCTGGTTTTCTCCCTCCTTTCCCAAAGTTCACACCTCCCCTTTCCCACAGCAAGCACAGCACTTCATGCAGTGGGTGTTATCCCTGATCTTGTGGTGGCAGGAGCTCTCTCCTGAGTTTTTTTTTATCTCAAGAAGTCACAGTTTCAGCTCAGGAAAGCATCTGGGTTTCATAGCTGTATGTGTTCACACCTCTGTGTAAAATAAGTCTCCCAGGGTCCCCTTCCCCAACAGCCTCCTGGTCAGACTGATGTTGCAGGTCTGTCAGTAGCTCAGGCATGAAGCTGTGTCTATGCTAAGAGGGAGCTCACTCAGAGTTTCTCCCTCACTCCATATGTTGGCCAGGGCGGTGAGAAACACATCTCCCTCTGCCAAGTGGGAGCAGATGCTCAGCTTTAGCAGGCGAGGAACCAGAACACAGAGCCTGTGTGTAGCCTCATACATTTATATGCTGATTTTGGGTGGATGTGATTGCCTTTTCCAGGAATTCCCTGATATATCCCTGGACCTGGAACCAAAGATTCCTGCATTAAATTAGGAGTAGCTGAGGAGCAGATAAATTTCAATATTCAGATTTAGAAACATGTCTCCATTCTCACATTTTCACCTCTGATCATCTTTAAGACAACTTATAGAAGCCAGTTAAATTCTGCCATTAAACTGTGCCATCAGCAATAGGTGATGTGCTGGCTGCTGGCAATACCCCTGTTCCTTTACTCTCCTTAGTATGCCAGCTCCAGCCCCAGGAAACTGCACTGGAATTGAATTACATGTACTAATGCTGCCTCTGTGCCTGGCTCTTATCTGWGTTTGACTGGGAGCAGCTCTGAGTCACTGGTGTGGACTGGAGGCAGTCTGTCCCCACACTGTCAGTCTGGCTTCAGTCAGGTGGGCAAGGCTTGACCATTCAATGCAACCAAGGTATCTTTTTTGTTGGAAATCAGATCCTGTCACCGTGGGTCTACCTGATTTCGAAAATAACAGGAGTTGTGCTCATTCAGCTGCATCTAGATTGAGGTGCCAGTTTTGAGCTTTGAGACTCGTGTGTGTGTCCTGATCCCATCTCTCAGGGTGATCTGGGTGTATGAGGGAGGTGTATGAGCCATAGCCTGCTTTGGTTCCCTGAGGCAAAAGTGGTCTGGAAGGGCTCCATGGTGTGTCCCAGAACCCCAGCAAAGGCAATTGAGGTGTAACCATGGTGTTGTGGGACAATCGTCCATTGGGCCACCATGAACCTGTGTGTTCTCTGCACTGTGGTGCTGCCTGGAGCTGTAAAAATGCAGCCTCTTGAGGGAGGAGGGCAACATGCACCCACAGCTCCACGTTGCACCCACGGCTCCAGGTTGTACCACAGCTCCAGGCTCAGGGTAGGGAGCAGCTCACCAGTGCAGATAGGTCACAGCTGGACATACCCACTCCTTTCCCTGAGGTTTGGGTTCTTGGGGGTCTCCTAGCTTYAGTCTCTCTGGCTGTGGGATGTGGGAGTTGATCCTACTGCCATCTCAAACTGATGGACATGAGGAGTGTATGAGCATTGTCCCCATGTGTCCTTGACACTGACTTGTGTCTTTGCCTCCTGTCCAGGTACAACCCGGGGCGTGCCTTGTCCCAGGTGCAGCCRCTGGAGCCCTGGGGAAACACTGTCTATGGCTATGCCACGTAAGTGACTTCACCATCCCCACACCCTCACACAGGACCAGACATTGGCACAGCCCTGTCTCCTCTCATTCTTTCATGTGTGGTGTGTCTGGAGGCTGGAGAGGGCTTCTCTCATGTTCCCTCTGGCTCTCACCTCCATCTAATGAATTTGCTGTTCAGACACTTCTGTCCTTCCTGCTGCCACCAGCCTCTACTTCTGTTACAGGCTGTGTTTGAAGGTGACATCGGTTCTGTCACCTGTTCTTCAGCCTCATTCCCCAGGTGTATGTGCTATGAGCAGCCCACCCAAAGCCTCCTGAGGTGCTATTTTATGTTATTTTACTTGTCCAGTGCCAGTTCCACTGGCTTTTCACATTTGTCACCTGCCTGGGCTGGCAAAGGAAACTCTGCTGTCCTGTCCCATTCCCTTCCACTGCTTTCTCCCATCCTGGGGCCTGCCCATTCTCTCTGGTGCCAAAGCCAAGCACTTTGTGTTATTCCTTGACAAGCTCACTCAGACCCAGCCAAYAGAATCTGGGTAGAGTTGGCCACCCCAGACTCACCTTGGTCTTCATGGCCAATGCAGAATTGCAAGGACTCTGAAGAAATGTCCTTACTCTTGCAGGAGCGAAGATGCAGAAGCCTATGAACTGCAGGATGAGGAGTTCAGCTCTGGGATTTTCATGAAATACTTGAAGAAACACATTCTACAAGAGAAGAAGGTTACACACATGYTGGAGGATGTGTTAGAAGGTGAGAGATGAGCTAGAAACCACTTGCTTCAGTGGCAGGGGTGAAAAGAGAGAGCAGAGACTGAGTGGCTCTACATCACCCCATCCCATCCCAGCCAGCCAACTGTTCCTGTCTAAAATCCAAACACAGGCCATGCCCCATGGAAGCTTCCAGTCTCCTGGCAGCAGCATAGAGACATTCATGCAGGGGCTGAAAGGCAGGGAGATCAGTAAGGAACCTGGAGTGATCTTTGTGYCTCCAACTCTTTCCTTCAGACATTGGCCGGGATCCCCTGGTCACTGGGAAGCAGGTGATGGAGATCAAGCACACTCTGAAGGAAGGCCGGTCCCTGACAGACCCCATCTGTCCCTCGGGAGCAGCCCCTGAGTGCTGGGGGCATGGCCAAGGTGAGCCATGCAGGGTGTGGGGAGGAGGGCAGTGGGGGTCCCTGTGCCCCTTGGGGACACTGTGGGTACAGGACCCTTCAAGGAGCTGATCCTGCTTGAATTTCCCTTCCAGAGCCGCCAAGCAGAACGGTGACCTTCCCGTGCGGGGCACGAGTGGAGCTCCGCTTCCTCCGGCTCTTCTCCAACCTCATGTTCGTGTGTGCCAAGCCTCAGCCATCCCCGGCCCACGTCACTGACCCCCAGCTCCTGCTCCACTGGCCCGTGGTGAGCGCTCTGGCCAGTCCCCTTCCTAGGCTGCTTTCCCCAGGGCAGAGGTGGGAGGGTGGTTGGGCTGAGTCCTGAGGGCTGGAAAAAGGCTGATCCCCTCCTCTGCATATACCTCTTTGAGGCTCCTTCTACTCAGTGAATTCCCTGCTTTGCTTCTCATGCATCACAAAAGAGATTTGGCAGCACTTTGATGCCTTTAACCACTTATCCGTCAGACTGATTTCTGGCCTGCCTGATTAAATTACTGCATTTAATCTGATTGAGGCCAAGAGCTATTCTGATTTCTGTGTTTGAAAGCAGGTCTGGCTTTTTGACTCATATCTTCTTAGCCTGCTGTGCTAATACAATATACTCCTTCCCAGTCGAGCTGTGCCAGCTTCCTTGCACCCTTTCTCACACTTTTGCTCACAGACCAYGTGCCCAATGTGGACTTTCCTGATGGTCTCTGTGCCACCCCTACGGATTTAATTTGCTGCTCTTTTCTTTAACCATCTCCATTGTTTTCTGTAGTCCTTCTCCCAAAGCATAGCTCATTTGTGGTGGATTTTTTGGCCCATGCTGCTCATGGAGGGAGACTGCTCCTCAGCACTATGTGGTCACTGATGCAGCAGGGTATATCCAAGAGGTTTGGTCCTGATCCTGCCCCTTCCTAAGCTGCAACATCGTTTCCTCTTGTGAGCCCCCTAATCATGCATGAAAATAGTGTCTGTGTGTGTGCACATGTATTTGTGCGCTTCCCCCCACATCATGACTGGGAGTGATGGGGATCCAGCTGCCTGCTCCTGCCTCTGGAGCTGTCTCAAGAGTGATCAGGGACACAAAAAGGGACCCCAGTACAGCCAGATCCCTGCTCCCGTYCCACTTCATGGCAGAGCTGGATCATGCTGAGTGGCATTTCCACTAGCCAATATGTCAATCTGAGCATGTTTGGTGGGCAGTTATGCCTATGTGCTTYATGCTGATGCTGAAATTTCCTTGCATTTCCTCGTACTTTCCTGATGCAGGAGACAGATGATGTGGCYGTCCAGAGGGAGAGCTGCCTGGACCATGTGGAGACCCTGCTCGCCTCCATGTACAARCGGGAGGAACTGGACTGCGTCTTCCAGCTCTGTGCACTACAGAAAATTCAGGTAGAGAGTAGCCAGGTGCAAATTTCCACATTCTCTGTACTCTCAGGGAAGTGGTGTCCCATCCCATGGCTGGAGCTAGATATGCCCTCTGATGATGTGTCCGTGTCAGTGTCACATCCAGACCAATGTTAGAGGACCTTGTTGATCTTCAAGGCACAAAAGCCACCGCTGTTACAGAATCACAAATTCACAGACTGGTTTGGGATAGGAGGGACTTTAAAGCTCATCTCTTTCCATCCACTGCCATGGGCACAGACACCTTCCACTATCCCAGGTTGCTTCAATCCCATCCAGCCTGGCCTTGGGCACTGCCAGGGATCCAGGGGCAACCACAGCTTCTCTGGGGGGCCTCAGTATACCCACAGGGAAGAATTCCTTCCCAGTGTCTCATCTAACCCTGCCTTGTGGCAGTGGGAGCCATTCCCTATGTCCTGTCCCTCCATCCCTTGTCCCCAGTCCCTCTCCAGCTCTCCTGGAGCCCCTTTAGGCCCTGGCAGGGGCTCTGAGCTCTCCCTGGATCCTTCTCCAGGTGAACACCCCCAGCTCTCCCAGCCTGTCTCCATAGGAGAGCACTGCCCTTTTACCTCACCTTTTCCACCTCAGCAAAATCTTTCTGATTTACAATCAGGCTGCAGAGCCCAAGTGTGGATGCTCTTTGCTTTTGTCCACTGTTGTCTCCACTGCCTGGCTTTCCTATCAAAGCTGACCCACAGCTTTCCCCTCTCTGTGCTGGGAGCAGAGAGAGGCATCACTGGTCATGGATGGTTCTGTTTCCCTGCTAACTGGCCATGGAAGCTGCTCTTAGCCCCATCAGCCATGGGGAGGTCAGACCCTCYCACTTATTTCAGGTGGAGGATGTCTGACAAGCTGAGTGCTTGCCTGGGAGATGAGCTCATGGGCTGGCTAGGATCTGCTGTCATCAGATCCAAGCCTAATCCAAGCTGTGCCTCTTTGGCACACTTCAAAACACCCTCAAACTATTTAAAGACCATGAGAGAGGCAGAATTCCTAGTCTCCTGGCTTGTCTCTCCTCAAATAGCAGTGTGCRCCTTGTTTCCACTTGGATGCTTTTTCCTCCCCCTAACACACAGTCAGTGGATCTTACACTGAGTGCTGCTCTCAAGCTGCTGCCTGGATCTGCCTACAGCAAATGCTGCTTGCTGAGTATGTGGTGTGCTTCAGCATATGGCAGTGATTGATCCTGGAGCTCCTTTCAGAACCTTTCCCAGCTGTTCTGAATTGCTTTTAAGAGCAGACAGGAGACCTGGACCAGGCATTGCCTGCCAAAATCTTCTTGTTCCATTATACATCTCCCTGTTCTGTACAGGCATTTTGGGCACAGCACYGTGCTGGAGGTTTGCTTTCAGAGGTTTGACTGCCATGAATGTGGTAATTCTCTTCTTTCTTCATATTTTATAAAATCCTAAAATAGTGCTGGGCTGTGRACAGATCCCTTTGGAGCACTGCTGCTTAAAGCTGTTGGCTTTTTTAGTGTGAGCTGTGTTTTAGTTCATAGAATCCCAGCRTGGTTTGGGCTGGGAGGAACCTTAAAGCTCATCTCATGCCCCACCCTGCCGTGGAGAGGGACACCTTCCACTAGACTAAGTTCTGTCTAACCTGGCCTTGGACATTTTCCAGGKTTGGAAGTGGTTCACGCTTTCCTGTCCCCGTATGCATTGTTCCTGGCCATGGTGCAGCCCCTCCTGCTCCCCTGTGCCCACATCCCAGGGATGATGCTCACGGTGACAGTGCCCTAACGAAGCTGATGAGATCCCAAGAGAGGTGGCCTGATTTCAGAAGTCCTGAAGTCCAAAATCCRTGTCTGAGGCCTTCAAGTGTCATGAGCTGTATGAGTACATACAGCTCATTTTCTCTGGCAGTAGCATTGCTTCATCCTGCCACAGCATGGGGCTGTGAGCCTGCACAACARCCAGCCAAGGCTCCTTTGTGGCAGCAACGGCAGCAAAGCTGTTTCCAGTCTAATTCTCCCATTCACTTTGCATCATTTGCTCTCCCCTTCCAGAAAGACGTGGTYCTGCAGTTGGATTTGCATTATACCCATCTGAGCACAAAACAGAGGACTTGTGAAAGCCTGCAAACGACCCTCCAGAAATCCCTGCTGGGGCAGTTTTTCAGCCAGAGGAATGACTCCCAGCCGGACTCCCAGCGAGCTCCTGCCGGCACGGGCAGCGTGTGCCTGCGGGATGCGTCGGCGCTGAGCACGGACCCCAAGGGCCAGGGATCCCTGAGCACAGGCTCTGGCCACAGCTTGCCCAGCAGCAGCCCCTCCAACTTTGGCAGTGAGCCCGAGGAGAACGATGAGAGCGACCTGGGTGAGCTCTGCTTGGCGCTGCTTCGGGCTGACCTGGGGCAGGAAGGGCCCTGAGCCTCGGCCTKAGGAGCTGCTCTTTTAACTGAGGTCTCAATTTGAGTGTTGAATCTGTCAGAATCCAGCACCTGCTTCCCAGCCTCGGCCTCGGGCTGTCTGAATGAGACCAAGGCTGCTTTTTTTGGAAAGGTTTCTCCCATCTGCAGCCTGTGGTGTGCAGGGCCTGTCTCGTGGGAGCATCGGGATCAGCATTGTGGTGTCCGGCAGAGGACAGGGCCACCTGCCAGTCACAGTCACAGCACTGCCAGGCAAACGGGCGTTGCTGCAAGGCAAGGGCACCAGCTGATGTTTTCTGCCTGTGACGGGAAGCCCACAAACACTACAGACCCCTCCGGCTCAAATCCCAGCTGTGGTTGATGGATCTCACCAACCTGTGCAAGGGAGACAGAGCTGGACCAARGGGACCAGCTGGAGCAGTGTAGGCTCTCTCCAGGGTCCCAGCATGGTTTTCTTCCCATGCCTGTGTCAAAACATTTATGTTAAGTTATGCATTTRTGTATTTCTGAAGAATGTATTTATAACTGGGGTGAGACAGTCACTTGCCAGGAAAAGGAAGGTCAGATATTCTGCCCAGTGTGTTTACAGTGGAGGATGGAACAGGCTCCAGGCAGGTGCACTGACACCTGCCCCTTCCAGCGTGGTACAGGGGCATTAAAGGGTGWTCAGCCCTCTGCAGTTCTGAGTTCCTCTCAGGTGCAGAATGTCCTACTGGAGAGATGGAATGTACTGGGATTGAGAAAAGATAACCTCAAAGAAATTGTTACTATAAATCGTTTTTTCTGTGTGCCTGTTTGTGCTCTGGACAACCTCAAGCACTGCATGGAGAGCCTGCTGTCCAGGGAGAGCCACAGTTGAGTACGGCCCAAAGGACAGGCTGGGTGGGTACAGGCCCCTCCCTGACTGCTTCCCTAATACATGTTTGATGTGATTGCTCAGTAAGGGCCTGAGAGGGTGATCCAGTAGTTCCATAGGGGCCAGTGACCCCAGTGAAGTGTGAGGTCTCCATCCTTAAAGAACACTCTGGACTGTAGAAGGTGCCGATGACCTGATCCAAGCTGGCTGGGGGCTGAACCAGAGACCACTGGAGATCCCTTCTGGCTGTTGCAGTGCTGTGAAAGAAAGAGCTTGGAGAGCAGAACTTCTTGAGAGTCAAGGGTGCATGGTGGGGAGAACACCCTAGCTCTGTCTTGCTTTAAAAGAGGGTTGGAGGCAGAATTTTCTCAGTTTTGGTCTCTTTCAGCAGTGAAGATACTTCCCTGGCTGTGGTGTCAGTTGCAGAATAGAAAAATCTGAAATTTTGCTTCCAGATAAACCATTCTGCAAGTGCTGAAAACCTGTCCAAAGAGAACAGGAGGCTTTTATTCTKCTCACAGTGAGTAGAGCCAAGGGAAAGAAGAGGGGCCCCATCTGGCTGCTGACTAGAAATTCTAGAAAAGTAAAGTTCAAAAAAATAAAAAATTCAGAGGATGTAGTTTAAATAAGATGGKCTGATAGAGAAGCTAAACCAGAAAATAATAAACTAATTTCTGGAAGAACCAAAGATCAACTCAACACCAGCAGCCACCGAGGACAGGTCAGTGAGAATGGCTCTGCAGGCATTTGGGAGGAGCTGGGGGATCTCACTGCCTCTGTGAGGAATTATTCACACTGTCCTGTGCTGTTGGGGCAAGGCTTGTTCCTGTCTCATGTTATCATGCCAAATGTCACCTAATGTGAGTGTTTATCTCGTTCAAAGTGAGGCTGGTAATTTTTTTCTGAATAAAACACTATTGGTGTTTTTAATGCACAAAGCTTCACAGGGCTGAGTTAATTGTTTATTTTCCCTCTAATTGCCAGGGTGTAACTTAATATTGATTTACTGGGGTTTCATGCTTCCAACTTGAGCTTCAAGGCTTTTCTGTGGGAGCATTGTTTCTTTTTTTAGGTAACTAAAAATACTGAAGTTTGGATTTAGAAAGTGGATCAAATTACTAGATAGGATGAAATGATGTTCAGGTGAAATGTGTAGATGAAAAAAAAAAGTCAGCATTTGTTGAGATTTGTCCATCTGCTTTGTAAGTGTCCATGGCTCTGAGGTGCCTTAGGGGGTCTCTTGTCCCTGTCATCAGCTCTCCTATTCCTCCTCCACGCAGACTTTGCAGCCAGGCCCAGGGGAGCTGTGAACATTCCCCTGGTGGTTCATTCCCTGAGATGATGGTTTGTCATGTCTGGGAACTTGCTGAAATGCAAAGGTGGMCTTTGTGTGCTGGGCCTCAGCTGGAGTCATTGTAAGAGAGGKTGGAACTGTGGCTCCTTCATCCCCCACTTTACACATGAAATCCAGACTCCCTCATGATGGTTAAACTGTTTGATGCCAGTAAATTTTCCTGGAAATCTGTGTTTCCATCTCCCAGCATCCAGGACAGACAAGGCATCCCAAGATTACTGTGTCTCTTGGCCACATCCTTTCCACTCTGCAGCCACAGACCTCGGGCTCCCCAGCCCCTGTGCCATCTGGAATGTGCCAGCCCAGGCAGCAGCAGGCAAAGTGGGACCCATTCCCTCTCTGCCTCCTTACCTTCCACATCCATTGCCCTTCCTCTGTTTCTGGGCCAGTCTGTCCCCAGAGGCTACAAACAGCACTTAGAACCGTTTTTGTTGGTAATACAAGTGCTTTCCTTCACCCAAGTCTGTATTTTCTTTAAAAAGCACCAAGTGAAGCTTTAAAATTATATATATGATCAAAATAGCAGCTCCTAAATATGCAATAATTTTATTTTTAGATAGATGCCCTTCTTTTCCTCTCTGCTAGGGCAGATGTGTTGAAGGGAAGGACCTTGAGCAACAGCCTGATATGTTCTTCTTCTACTACAGAATTCATTTGGGATGCAGTTCTTGACTCATTTGCTGAGGTTTGTCAGGAACTGGCAAAACAAGGCAAGTGTAAGCAAAAGGACAGAAAACAAGGCAGTGAAAATCAGAGAAATCAGGGAATGTGGGATATGCCATTTCAGTCTGTTACTGGAAAATCCTGGGCCCAGGTGCAGTTCAAGAGGTGTTTTATGTGTGCACTGGCAGATCCACCCCGACCTGCTACCCTTCTGTTGGCAGCAGATTCCTGAAGGTTTGTTCTCTGTGATCAAAGGAAGGAAAAAGTGGATTTGTCTCACATCAGCCACTCTCCAGCCTCARCCAAAGAAAGAAAAAAACACAGGGCAGGTTCTTCATTTCTGGGGGGGAAAAAAGTCGATCTGGGTCAATAAGTCATTTCACTTAACAGCTCACTTAACTCTTTCCATCTCTTTGGAACAAATCTCCTTCACACGACTAAATCTTAATCTACTCTTTAGAAACTGGTAGTTTGTCCTTATTTTCCACTTGTTAAGAGGTTTTCCATGATATACAGAATCTCCCAGATAATTTCCTGCTCCACATTAGAGGGCATGGTGCTGTCAATGGGATACGCTTGCAGTGTAATAAAACATCTAGTGGGACAGGGAAACTCCCAAGATTCAACAGTAGAGTTTTGGTCCTCTTTCCCTTGTTTTTGGAAGTAGCTTCTCATACAGGCAGGAGAGATCCCAGAGGCATTCAGTGGCTGTTGCTTCACAGAGGGGGAAGGAGTTTCCCAAAGGGCAGGTTATAATGTTCTCTAGAAATTAATGCGGTCTTTCACATGGACAAGGAGTGAAGAGGAAGATCTCTTGAGCTGATAGGATACAGGAATCACCTTTTTTTCTGAAATGCTGAGGGTTGCATTCATTAGCTGAAGATCACTTCTAGAACACCAGGTACTAGAAGTCAACATCCTCTGAGCACAACAGGACCATGCACAGGACAGTAATGAGAGACACAGGCACAGAACTAATGAGGGGGAATCATTAAACCCAGGTGCTTCTCTCACAGCCAGTGTGTCACAGCCAGCCTTTATCCATCATGTTGGCACATGGAGATACCCATGGCTCTGCTCTGCTCTCTCCCAATGCTGGCAACTATCCTGCTTCCAACAGGAGGTGGGATCCTGTCCCTCCCAACCAATGCTGTGGTTGTGCTACCAGAACATGCCCAGACGAGTGTGTTCTGAGTGATTCTGAACATCAAACTGAGAGTTTCAATACTATTTCAGTGAAATATCCCTGCTCCCTGTCCTAAAAGCAAACAAGGACATTGGTTCAGCTTGGCTGGTTCCAAAACTTATAAAACAAAAAACTCATGGCGGGACTAGAAAATAAGGGGAAAGATGGTAAAACAGTTCATTTGAAAATGTCAGATGGTYCAGACTCAGTTCTTCCAGGCCTCCCCAACAGGCATAGGGTTCAGGAATGAAACCAGGAGTACAGTTTGAAACAAAAGGGGTCAGTGAAGCCATCCACTACCAGCACAATAAACCCAAGATGACTCAAAAGGAGATTTGCACTGCTGACTTGCATTCAGGCACCTCTGAAGAGACCTGGGGCACCTCTTTGGAAAGCAGAGGCAGGAGCAGGTCTGGTGTCATGGTGAAGTCTTGCAGACCAGGATTTACTTATTAATGAACAGAAATTACTGATAGCACAGACTTATCATGTTGTCCCAGAGTTTTCTCCTCTATCATAGATTATTTCAATGACTCCTTTGCCTTTGTTACTAATGACTTGAAATTAGGTCTGTGACATCATGAGGCTGTGAAGAGAAAAACATCATCAAACAAATGAGCTCCTTGAAGCGCTTGGAGTTGCATCTTATCTTCACAGTTTGGATAACCTTTTACATAACAAGCARCAATTTCAAATCTATTGGTCATATCACTCCCTCAAAGAGATTGAAGACACGCTTTGAAATTACAGACCAGACTTCATGTGCACAAGAAGAGCTGATGTGGTGTCACACAGTAAGGAAAAACTAATGTCTCTTTGATAAATCTGTCTTCACAGAGTTGGATTTTCTTGCCACAGTGTCAGGAAGAGTTGACGAGACAGACGTKTTATTAAGTGGTAAAAATAAACAGATGGAAGAGACAAGTGAGAGATTTCAGCTATGACTTTCCAGAATGTTTCATCAAAGAATAACCTCCTCATTTCCATTCCCTAGCAGAGATGAAAATTAAGCAATGCTTACCCAAGGACTGCACGGTTGGAGCAATGGGTTTGGAGCCCACAGGTCTCTGGTCCCCACTTGCCTGCAGGGCACRTGAGATGGGGGAGTTTGTGGTCCCAGAGAGGGGTGCTGGTCCTGACCTGCTGCTCCTCCAGATTCAAAGTCACCATTGTGGAGAGCATTTATCCCTGACCATGAGAGCGCTGACTGCCTTGGGTCCTAAGAATTGGAACCTATTTCTGAGATTTAACTCCTATAATATCCCTCWTTTCTCACTCTCCCTCCCTTTCTCTTACACAGGAGGGGTGTCTCACCCCTTCCCTCTGTGGAGGATGCAATAGTTTGGCCAGGACTGTGTTCCTGACCAGGACAAGGGACAGGATGAGAGGAAACTGCCTCAAGTTGTACCATAGGAAGTTGAGACTGGATATTGGGAAAAAGTTCTTCACAGAAAGGGTGGTCAGGCATTGGCATGGGTTGCCCAGGGCAGTGGCRGAGTGACCATCCCTGGAAGCRTTCAYAAAAAYGTGGATGTGGCACYTGAGGAYATGGTTTAGTGGTGGACCTGGCAGCTGGACACAATGATTTTAGAGGGCTCCTCCAACCTTGATAATTCCATGATCCTATGGTTCTCTAAGATGTTTAATCCCTGGGAATGTGATGATAGAGCACCAGCTCCTGCAAGTGAGACACTGAAACAGGCTCAAGTGGCAGCATTTTAAGTGGGGGCGAGCTGGCTTTAGCATTTGGGATCCTCACCATGGCAGGGCACAACACAAAATCCTCTTTACTGTRGAGCTGATGGTCAAGGGATGTTGCTCCCAGACATGGTTCATGCCCAGGCTGCTGGGCATTGCTGCAGGAGCAGAGGGTGGCTTTTGCTGTGTCACTGCAGCCACCTCCTGCCTGCCTTATCCTTCTGTGTCACTTCATATCAATTATAAAATATTAAATCAGATAAATAACTTTAACCTTTCTGGATGATAAGAAAAGACATTGTTCAACCTCCTWAAATGCCATTGTTTTCACTGGAAAATGCTAATGGGATTATATAAAGGTTATTTCAGCCTCTTCTCAAGTCTGGAGATGTGGCAGAACAATCACGATGCCCTTTGTTTATGCCTTTTTAATGACTGCTTTTACCTTCAGGTATTTTAGTCCTCTGCATCTTTTCAGGTGATCCTCTGGGTAGTCCTTGGACTGCTTTTTTGGGGAAATTTCCTGGGGAATGTAAATGTACCTGTGATTTAGAGGTCTGGAGGTGAGCTGGGGTGGTGAAATGCTCTGGCAAGCGTTTGAGTATTTTGCAGTGTGAGGGTCAGGAGCTGCACCCATAGGTTCCCAAGCTCCTGTGCTATATCTGAGCAGCAGGGCCTGCACCAGTGAGCACCAGAGCACCCCTGGGGCATTGCTGGTGTCCTTCTCTCGAGGTCCCTGCCTGTCAGCCTGTGCCAGCCTGCACATTGGAGGAATTGAGTGGCACAGCCCCTGTTTGCAGCCTTCAGTACAGAGGGACCTTTGCTGCACCATGCAGGAGTGATCAGCTGGGTAAGGAACACAGTTCATGACCCAGAGAAAGCTACAGAAATAATGTTCCACTGACTCTGTCCTCTGGGAAGGAGCTCCCAAACCACGATTTCTCTCATTTTTTTGATGTTACTGGTCTTTCCCCCAGGTTTTAATTTTTGCTAAATCTTTACTTCAAACAGCTCAGTGTTGTGCAGGGAGCTTTTGGTGGCCT